TGGTCGCCCGCCCGGCGATGGGATCCTCGGCCGTGATGGCCAGCACTGAGAGCTGCTTCTTGAAGAGCCGAAAGGAGGTATCGTGGAGCTCCGCGGGGTCGTTGGGGCGCAGCGCGGCGGTGACCGCGCTCAGCACCGAGGGCACGTTCTCCATGGACGCAATGGGTAGGTCCTGGTCGTCCAGCAACAAGAAGGACCAGCCGTTGTCCACCGCCTCGCCCAAAGTGGAAGGGTTCTGCACGGAGCTCTGGAAGGCATAGGTCTGGCCCGGCTCAAAGCCCGGCTCCTGACTTGAGACGTATGTTTCAACCATTTCGATCTAGACATCCTTTCCGCAAGATATGCGTCCAAGAAAAACCACACAAAATATGGTCCCTTTGGGTGTTTCTGGACAAAAGAAATTTGCCCGCCCTCCTGCGCAGGCCAGTGGGAAATGACCACTGGTGATACAACAAAAAGGGCCCAACCCCAAGGGGGAGATTCCCCTGTATCACAGTGGGTCAAAACCCTCCCCTGCTAAACATCAAAATAGCTGGTACATGGGTGTTCATCCGCCCCACGGAGCCATAGGCTATGATGGCCGTATCACAGTGGGGCTACACCGCGAGTGATCCACCACCGCCCTCCTGAGCGTCAATGCGAATCTCCAGCATCGTCTCGCCCACCCGCTGGCAGGAGCTCAGCGGCAGAGGCGGCAGCGACCCTCGCAGCGGCCGAAACCCCGGGCAGGCGCCCGGCACAAAGAAACCCGCGGCCGGGGCACTCACCTGCGGCTCAAACCTCAAACCCACACGGAATATCAGAAAGTGCTTGTTATAAAAGCCTTAAGTTTGAGTTTGCACCAAAACCGTTGATGTTGCTTTCTTTCTTTCTTTTTTGTATATACAAACATAAAATCCATCACATGCACTGGGCTTTCATAAAAGCCCACTCGGGAGTTTTTCCGGGTCCCTGCTCTTGGAAAGAACGCCTGCAGCGTGTGAGAGGGCTGCGTCCAGTGGAGCAAGGAGAACCCGTCCCTCGCGGGCGTCACGATGCGGACGTAGATGACTTGCCATCTGCCCAGCACGGGGTGCCCGGGCAGCACCTGCCCTCCGGCCAGCACCGGGATCACGAAGTACCTGAAGGCCACCCAAGGGGTCCCACATGAAATCAAGCCACATTGACTCGCCAATCCAGGTGTGGGTTTGTTTCCAAATAGGGGAGGGTCCCCCCGGTCAAAACAAAAAAATGCCCTCCAAACACACATATTGATAATGTTCCCAAACAGGCCCAGGGGTCCATCTTGGTTGAAGAAACCAAAATCCTCCTCCCAAGTTACTATGGACTTCCAATAAAAAGAATGGAAATCGCCTGCCTGCCGTGGGTTGAACATCAAACAGGAGTTCTGAAAGCAACGACCGCTTTACAGATCAAAGGAGTCCTCCAAATTTATGTTTTCCTTCAAGGCAAAACCCATGTCCAAGCAAACCGGCCACCAGCGCCAACCACGCCATGGGATGAGTATTTGGGCATGGCTCAAAATTCGACCGAAAATACCGCAGGTTTTCGTCTATGCCAACCCATTTCCCAGGGCAACCCATTTTGGGGTTACCCAATTGACCCACAGCCATTTCCTTCTCGCCTGTCCGCGCGCAGCAGGCGCTGGAAGCTGATGGTTTCGGAGCCCACCTCCACCTCCACGGACAGACGCCACGAGCTGAAGGCCGCCGTCTGCGGCCCGTTGTAGACCAGACAACTCGCGCGGTAGGTCACGTGGGGATACCTGGCTCTGTGGATCTGAGAACTGTCGACGTCGAGAACCGGAAAAAAAAAAAAAAAAAAAAAAAAACTCGACAGGAGGACCCAAGGTCCTTGTGACCTGGCCCTTTGTCATCCTTTAGCAAAGCACAAGTGGTGTTGGTTCATCCAAAACCCCATCGCCCAGAATCAAGTGCTCCAAATGCTTCCCCTCTGACAAATGACACACCCCCAACCAAAACCAAAAAACGTGCACCGCATTTTCCGGGGAGTGTAAAAACCTGGCTTTCTCAGCGAGCCGCATCGCCGGCAGTCCGTTCCCCATGCGCCACACCGCCGCTGCCGCAGCCGAGACCTTTGTCGCTTGGCCAGTGAGAAGCGAGAAGGCAAAGCATCTTTTCGCGCTTTCCCGTACAAAAGCCGGTGAAAAACCGAAAAAGGGCTCATTGCTCAAAATCCAGCGCGACTTTGGTCTTGGACACACAGGTCAAACCTCTCGCTGGGCGGAATCATCAGTGTCCCGGAGGTCGAATCGAACAGGAAAAAGATCCAAGAAGTATCGGGATATAAGGTTTCCAAAGTGTCTCCCCCAAAGATTCACCAAAGATCTCCTCGTGGGATTCTGCTTTTCGTTGGAGATGGGTGTGCGTCAAACATGAGTACCCAGAATGGAACCCTGGTAGATGCAAACAAATACTAAAACCTGCCGTCCCCTCGTGATTTGATTTTGACCCACACCCAGTTGTTTTTTCAATTTCCCCGCCTATTTGGTGGCTTGGATTGGTGGTTTTTTGGAGTTGAACCCCTGGTTTTCCTGTAGGGGCTAAAGGGGAACCCGTGGGATGCGTTTCGCTTTTCGTTGGACAGACCCAGATGGGTGTGGGTCAAAAATGGGCACTGGCAGATGGAAACAAATACTAAAACCTGCCTGGTCAATAGAAACATGGCTAACACCAGTGGTCCCCTGATGTAAGTCTGCCACGCCCAGCTCTCCCCGGAGCGGCCATCGTCATCTCCGGCACGCCGCGGCTGCCCAGCCGCGCGAAGCCCGGCACCGGCTCGCAGGTCTCGATGCGCGCGGAGCGCGGCTCCACCAGCTCCAGCACCACACGGGCGCCTCGCGCCACAGCTCGAAGGAAGCACGAAGGGTCACCAGGGTCGGTTTACATGTGGTGAATCATATGGCGTTGAAACATATGGTGGTAAGACTTATGGTGTCTCGAATTTGGGAGGAACCTCCACAAAGACTGTTCGGTCCTTTTGGCTTCCCTTTAAACATTCACCAAAAGATGAGAACCCCGGAGAAAAAAAAAAAAAACATGACAAACCCATAGGGTTACATCTTTGGGTCCCAGTTTCCCTTCAGAACATCCACGACATCCGCGAATAGATCAACACATCTCCCAACACCCACATGTCCAAAGTGACATCCTTGGATCCATGCCTGGTGGTCTTAAAAGCTGGAACCAGCAGGCTGTTTTGTTTGCATCCCAACTGCTTACCCACTTTGCACCAAATGCTTGCCCTGGGCAAATGGGCCTTTGAGCCGGACACAGCAACCCTGGCGCGAACTGGGTCGTAACTCGTCAACCCGATGTCAATCAAAGCAAGGTCTATGCGAACTTGGGAGCGGTGCAGGTATTATGTTTATACATGTGGAGCCTGTCAAGATGTTGCGAGCTTGGAAGCTCACTTCGCCGGTCCCAAAGGGTGTTGCATCAATTTCCCCCTTCCCAACAAATTCCGCCTCTTTCGTGGCTCAGATCTGCGCCAGCCTCGACACATTTCCTACATCCGGGATGCGACCTCGAGAAACCATTTGGCCACGCTTACGACGTAGCGAGTTCCCGTAGACTTTAGGAATCAACCTGCACCTCTTCATAACGAGGCCGGAGCAGGTGAGGGGATTCCGGCAGGCCAACCACCCATGTTCCAAGAACCTCCGGACTCTTTTCAGTTGAGGGGATTCCCATGCACCGTCGACAAGAACCAGGGCTTCAAATCCACAAGTCATCAGGGGAAACCTCAGATCCCTGCCAACAGCTTACCCTTTTAGTGGGCTCAATGGAAACTACCACCAAAGCCTAAAAACCTAAAAAGCCAAGGAACCGCATGGTTGGGAGAAAAACCAAGCTGGTCAACCCAGCACCAACGTCAAAAACCGCCCGCCTGCCGCAAGGACCTTCAACTGAATGGCCAGCTCCACCCGATTGATGATGGAGCCCATGGGTGCCGGATAAGTGTAGCTGCTGTTCAGCACGTCCAGGGTCATGGCCGTGGTGTTGGAGAGCATCACCGCGTTGCTCCGTACCTGGGAGTTGCGAGTGAAAGGCGAGGGAAGCCCGAACCGGGAAACATACGCGGCGTGGGTTTGGGAAGAGACCCTTTCGTAGGGATTCAGGTTCAACACTTTTGAGCTGGTGAAGTCCTAGAACTTATGGTCGTGAGAGAAATCACCACAAAGATGATATTGCTGAAACTGCCAGGGTACCAAAGGGCTGTGCGACAGGACGCCTGCCACGGTCTGCGAAAGGATGGCCTCCCAGTGCACAGCTGCAGCCAAAGGTTGCTTGATGCCTGCCACAGTCATGGTGAATTTATGTGGCCGGTCGGGCAGGAGAGTTGCAGAGCGGCTGGGCGTGCGCAACTCCACGCCAAAGGCCGGGCCCCCGCCAAAGGCCAGCAGCTTGCATGCCGTCTCCCCCGGCAAATCCCCTGGAAAGAAGCCGGTGCAAGCTCGAACCCGGCGCCATGGGCCTGACAACGCGAAGGCATCCATTTGGACCAAAGCCTCCAGCATGCTGACATTTGAGGGCCGCGACACGTCGCTGCTCCAGCCCAGCAGTGGAAAGCCAAACAAGCGCAACCGGGACCCTCCAGGAATTCCAGCCCCAAACTGAATGGTGAACTCGAATTCCTGCAGGCTGTCAAGGCCCGCGGCATCCGTGATGCCGTTCAAAGAAGCGACTTGCAAAGAGGTGAGTGAAGCATCGCTGCCCTCCACAAGGTAATCCTGGAAGTGATGCACCCAAGGCTCAAATCGCTCAACCTCCAGCCAGGAGTCTCCGTATGTTCTCGCCGTCAACAAGCTCCATGTGGCATTCACTGCAGCGAATCCAACCGGCCAGTACCTCACCCCAGAGGAACCAGAAGATACACAGGGCCATAACTACATGACCAAGAAGCGAAATGGTCAAGAGGTCAGCTGGCATCAACTTATGATCCAAAGGCCTCAAAGCAAAATAACCGCCGAGGTATCGAACGAGTCTCTCCGCACCCTCCAAAAAGAAAAGCGAAGGAGGAACCTGCTTCCTGAGACTCACATTCTTCTTCTTTTTTTCCGGGGTGCAGAACCAAGGAGTACTCCTGGTCCGAGAACAGCGGGGACCGCAGCTGCATGGCGAAGGTCTCTCCGGAGGAGCAGCTCTCAAGCGCCGGAAAGGACTCCGAGAGCTCCAGGACGTTGCTGCACTCCTCAAGCGGGCGGCGGCTTGCGGCTTGCCGGCGATGTACTTACTTGGTTGCTGTTGACCCCCCTGCAACAGGTTTAACTTGTTGGGGGTTTGGTGGAAAAACCAACTTGATTTCCCCAAAAGTTGAAGTCTACAGATCCAACCCAATAGCAGTCAAGCTTAAAGCTGCCAACTGAGGGATCAGCACTCCCAAGTCTCCGGAAAGCTCGCCGTGAGCTCGAACAAGGAAGGCTCTCCGCTGGCCCAAAGCTCCAGCCGGTACAGCTCCGAAAGTGAGCCGTAGAGGCCGTGCTCGTGCGTACGAAAAGCCACCAACAAGGGGGCGCCGGGCGTCTGCACCTGAGTTGGGCAAAACAAAGAAGAGTTGCTGCTGCTTTTGGTGCGCGCCAGTTTCAATTCCAATCCTTCCCTAAACTTTCATCCTCTGGCAGGGCACGTATGGTGCAAACACCGCGAAGGATTCCGCGACTCCTGCAGTGCGAAAGCTCAGCTCGACCTCCTCCAGCTGGTTGCCCACCAAATCGTGGACCACACCTCTTCGCAGTCTGACGCGGTACGCCAGCGCCGGACGCAGAGGTCTGTCGGGCTTCACCTGGATCGAGCGATTGCCCTGTTCACCCTGCGTCACCAAAACCACCTCCTCCGCAAAGGTCAGCAAGCGGATGTCCCTGTCAGAGGTCAGTTCAATGTCGCCGGTCCCGGCGAGGATGAGTTCAGAGAAGTAGATGTGAATGGTCACGTCCAAAGCTACATCTACTGACAGATTCCCGGGAACGATGCCAATGACCTGAGGACTGACTTCGTCATCCTCCAAGAGGGCATAGTCGTAACTTACCTGCGAGTTGAAGCGGAGGGTCCATGTTGAGATGATGCGAAACAAGTACGGGTTGACAAACACGGCTTCTGATGCTTGATCTCTGGGAAAAAATGAGAAACAAAGCCGGACGCAAGTGATTCAAGTGGCATAGTCCAAATCTGCCATCGCAGAAAGAAAAAGGGACAGAAGAAAGCCGCGTGATGGTCCCATGGCTTCTGCTTGGCTTTGTTCAAGCAAGTGTTGACAGGAACAAAGAATCGGCTACGGTTTCGTGCCAACCAGCTCTCAAGTAAAGCAAACTCAGACCTCGCACCAAGTGACCGGGATAAAACACAGTTTGCTCGATCTACACTGCCAATTCTGGCTGAACCAAAGCAATCGGCATCTAGACGTGGCTCAAATGCAAAAAAAATGCATCCCTGCAAAGAAAATGCTGTTGCTACATCCTACTTGCTATTGTCATTCTCCCTCAAGCCAAGGAACGACGCCGCCCAGATTCGGCACAAACTAAACCAAATCAGCGGCAAAAAGAAACATGCGCAGTGCCGAGGCGGATGCCCCACAAGAGACATCTCCATAGAGAAAGATTGCTCAAACCACTGACGCAGTCCAGAATAAGGAAATCAAAAAGCCTGAGATCACAGCCACGCGCAGTCTTCTTATCGTGTGTACAATGTGTGAATGTGTGGCTGCGTGGCTGTGGGGATAGTTTTCGTGTTGTGTGGTTGCGATTGTGGCTGTCGTTGCGTGCAGCTCGCAAGCGGCAAAAGTCAGAACCAGTCATTTGTATGATTTGCACAAGTTGCTTTTGCTGCACATGTGCGTGAATCATAGTTTTTGCGACCTCCCACGTCGCTCCGCTTCTGGAAGGTACGCATGTGTGTCGCAGCGCACATGCGAATTACGTCTCAGGGATGCTCGTATGGATGCGTTTGCTTGGCAGGCGCGCGCAAGCCTTTTCGCAAGCGTTGTTTTCGTTGGCCCTGTCGTTCAATGGACTCATCTTTGCGAACTTGAGACACGCGTCGTAAACGTGTCTCCAATGTTGGTTTCGTGACAGGCGCAATGCTGGATGTTTGCTTCTTCGTGGCAAGCTCACTTTTTCGTGACAGGCGCAGCTCTCTTTGATGAAAATTCGTGGCAGCTGCAGTACTTCGGGTGGTCGCTGACGACGCTGTCACGGTGTGTTAAGTTCAGTGGTCAATGACACACGCATCAATGCAGCACGCTTCGACAAGCCCGCTGTGGCACAGGAAGCACGCCACATCCGAGGAGCCAACTGGCTGAGAAGGGCGCTGGCCAACTCGCTCCGCGAGGTGCCGAGTGGGTCCCCAACCCGCTCGACAAATCGACGGCCCGGAGGCCTCGGCACTTCTCGGAGCGCGCCGCTCTTGGACCGTGACAGAATCCACGTGGCTCGGCCCGCAGCTCTAGCCCAACTGTCAGGAAACGCGGCCTTACACGCAGTGAAGGCTCGTAAACGTAAGATTTGCCCCTACGAACAATCCACGATCGATCCCAGCGCGGCGCCAAGGCAAGGCTTGGTCAACCAGTTTGAGACACGCAGGCTTACTCGCTATGGCTCTGTGTGGCGCAGCACGTTTCCACCACAACACCGTAAAGAACACGCGGCTCGGGAATTCACAACATCCCGCATCTCTCAGAGGTCGTAACATCAAACTTCAAGGGTCGCTCGCCTCACGTTCCGAAAGCCTAGCATTCATGCCTTCCATTCGAGATCAGCAAGAACCGAAAAGAAACATGCCCTCGACCGATGGAAATCGACCCTGTGCAAAGGCCTCTCTCACTTGGATCATGGCATATCCACGCAAACATCCCCAAATAGAGTTCGGCATGTCTGCATCACCGTCCTGGTTGCGAACACCACACGTAAAAATACGCACGTGCACTGACATCCTCCCCACCCTGAGAACAAAACACACCGCCTATGCCTGTACTCCAAGAACATCTGACACGGCAAACAACCGACTCTCACCCCAAATCAAACGGGAAGGAAAAAAGGGGAACACCAAGTGCCCAAGGCAGGGGCAAGGATGAAGAGGCTCACGTTTCCTCGCCGTTTTTGTTCCACGGCTGGTGCACTGAAATGAGAAGATGCCCACGGTAGCAAGTTTCAAGGGCGGCAAGCAAAAACCCAGTCATTTCTCTGCCTTTCTGGCTGGCTTCTGGTTGGCTTGGACCTTTTTTTTTCTTCTTTTTCAGCTCGCCTTGCAGAAAATTGCAAGCTTGACAAGACTTCTCATGGTTCAGGGAACGCTTCGCGGTTAGAATCTTGATCGCTGCTTCAATCCGAAAGGGAACATGCAATCCAAGATAAAAGGGGGCGACCGACAAACATGTGTGCACGCCCCTTTTTCTTTATAAGGCGTTGCTTGGAAGTTGAGGCTCAGAGGTGCAGGGGGAAAGACATCGCGTGTCCTTTCCCCATATCTGCACCCCTCTGCGGAGCCTCCTCATATGCCCCCGTGGTCAACAATGCGTGTTCGACCAGGCGCCAGGTGTGTTACCTGTGAGGCGTGAAACAATCGAAGGCATTGATGGCGGCCGGATGCAATGCGTGCATCCGGCTGGTGTGCAATGCGGCACGCGGTGCCAGGTTGAGACGGCTGGATGCAATGCGTGCATCCAGCTTATGTGCAATGGGTGCCAGGCTGATGCCTGGCAGTATCTACAGCATGCGGCGCTGGTTGTGCACCGAGCCCTTTGGGCGGCAGCTGCGGCAGGGCCCTGGCGGAAATATTGCATGCTGTCGCTCGCGCGAGATGCGTCTCACGGTGCTAAACTAAATTTTGTGACCTCTGCAGAAAGGTCATGGTGTGCACCGTACCTCTGGGGCCCTAGCTGCGGCTGGGCCCAGGCAGGTTCACCTGAGTGTTGACAGGGTGGGAGGGTGGGCGCAAAAAAGTGAGGGGTAACCCTCACGCAAGTCCCTTAGGTGGCTTGAAGCAGAAAACGGCCACGCGTCCGAAGATTCGATCAAGATTAAAACATAAGGGAAAATAAAACCCTAAACGTTAGAAATCTTGATCACTGCTTCAATCCGAAAGGGAACATGCAGTCCAAGATAAAAGGGGGCGACCGACAAACAGGTGCGCACGCCCCTTTTTCTTTATAAGGCGTTGCTTTGGCCGGCGGGCACAGGCACGAGCGGCCAGCCGGGCTTGGCGGGGAACAGCTCCCGGGCCCGCGCCTTGGCCTCCTCCAGTCCCGGCCCCTTTCAGCTCGCCCACCCGCAGCCAGCGCGCATGTTTTCCGTGAGCCTGTGCCTGTGGCCCCCAGCCAGGTCAATCACCGCCCGGGTCTTGAATGCCTGCTGCGCCCAACTGCTGCCACAGGCAGCCGCAATCTTACAGGCCAACAGCAAAGCGCAGAAAGGGCGCAATCTTGCACAACCGGCTGGGGTGTCTCGGCCAGCCTGCCTGCCCACCTGCCTGCCTGCCTGCTTGCTTGTGCACTTGCCAGTGGTTGCTTGGTTTTGTGTGCTCTGGCCTGGCTGTCTGGATGATGGTGCTTGTTGGGTTGGTGGCAGCGTAACTGACTGCTCCGAAACTGTCCATGCACGCAAAACTGCAAGTGGGAGTGACGCTAGCAACGTTTCAAATACAAAGGAAATGCATGAACGATTTGCCTTCCCCCTGTGCTGCAACAGCTAACAACATTCAGGCAAACTGAGATTGAACCAGCACACAAGCTGCTACTACCAATCAACCCATCCCGACCCGTTTCTTTTACGTCTTCAACAGCGTGGGCCTGGCTCTCACTGGGGTCTGGACAGAGTGAAATTCCTCAAAGCCGCTAATAGCAAGTCTGGCCGGGGCGGCAAGCAATGAAACAATAGTTCCTCATACTCAGCTCTGGTTGTCGAGCTGAGATGCGCATTCGCATTGCGCAACATCTCCAAGTAGGTGCACCACGGCATGTCCAACCGTTCCGGTTCCGTCTTGTTCTTCTTTCTTTTGTCCTCCAGGCGCTTTTGTATGCTCTTATTTACAGCATCATTCGACCAACTCAGCAGTCGTTCAAAATATGGATCCCCTTTCGTTGGATGCCAGCCATGTTGCGTTCCATGCCTCCTGCAAATGGTCTCCACCAGCCTGCGGTCTTGCTTTTCCTTGACGCTCAGTTGGCGATTCTTCCTTCCCTTTGGCGAAGAACACCAACGCCGCAGCGTGCCTTGCACAAACTCACCAACTCGCGCAAGTTGCTGCAGTCTTTGCTCGTTCTGGCACCATTGAAGGACCGGAAAATTGCTTTGGTTCAGTAGTGCCCCGCGCGCGTCTATGCAGCGTGCCACGCACACAGTCCACGGGTTGTTTACAAAAGAGAAGTTGCCGTTCTTCTCATCAATATATGCCTTGAGGAAGCAGTCGTACACGGTCTCATCAAAAAAAACTGCTGGGTCAGAGGTTGCCTGACCATTGGCCAAGTCTCTAATGTACCGCAAACGTGGCGGATTGGACCAACTTGGATCCGCCAGCAAAGGGGTCATCTCCGTCACGAACTCATTTCTCAACTTCATGCTTACGCGTTTTTGTGCGTCATTCTTGGACGGTTCGCGCTTCCACACTGCTGCTGTGTATGCCATTAGCGGCACGGATGGGATCTCGCCTAGCAACTCCGACAGTTCCTCTCGTTCGGCTTCATTGGCAGCAGCGGCCAGGAATTCCTGTCTGGCATAGTCCAGCTCCTGGACGGGGTTCTGCCACGGAAGGAAAAACCTTTGACACACGCCGGGAAAGGTGAATCCATTGGGAGTCATCCTCACGAAGTTTTGCCAAGCCAGCACCATGCCTGATCCCGTGATGGCAAAGTGCAGGTTGGAGTCTTCAATGCTGACTCGGAGGAATCCCTTGAGTATGTCCCAGGTTGGGATAGTTCCCTCTTGCACTTGGAAATACCTCTGAACCTCGTCGATGAGGAAAAAAACAGTACGCCCGGACCTATCCAAATTGTCCATCAACTCATCCAAGTGCAACATGTCACCTGGGCCCACATGGAACCCAGCGCTTGTTGCCCAAGCTGCAACTCTCTTCAGCAATCCTTCCTCCATTGCTCCCGGCTCGGCGCCCGCGTTGAGAAAAGTGGCAAAGTCCAGGACGCAAATCTCGGCATTTGGAATCTTTGTCAAGATGATCTGGGGCAGAAGGCGAGTCAATACGGTAGATTTTCCCGTTTTTACCATGCCATTGATGGTGCAGATGTGTCGGGAAGACACACAGTCCTC